ATATATATATTTATATATATACATATACATATGCCTAAATTAGACATTTTATAAGAGTTTGGGATAAACTTCCCGTATATGTCTGAGATAAGCTTGTTTTTGGAATTGATTCTTTTGTCAGAACTTTAAAACTATTTTATGCTAAGTAATAATTCTATTTTTATATTCCGTATCTCTTCCTCTCTCCTCTTCTTCTTTATTGTATACGCAAAAAAACAAACAAATGGTATACAAAAAGGAGCCAGTATTTCGCATTGTAAATTGAACATTTGTTTTTCACTACAATCTTAACTTTTGACTGATATCATTATTGATTTTGTACATATATATTTTTAAATATATTTTATTGATATTTTACTTGACTAATTTATGTTAAATTAATTTATGTTCTCATTAGCATCAGAGAGCCACTAGACAGTGATTCAGTTCACTTTTTGGCAATCCTGTTGGCCAATTGAGTGTTGTTTTTTGCACTCTGCTTTTTTTGTGTGTGTTTGTCAATTTTAAAGTTCTTTGAACAAAATAAATGAAATGTTCAAAATTATTCCCTTCCATAACCTTGTCCATCATTTATCATGATTTTATCATACATTGTTGTTGGTCTACTTAGGCTAGGCCTAGGCCGTAGGACCTATTTCTAGGCCTATGCAATTTTTTATTTATTTAAAAATAGAATACGCTACATTAATAGGCCTAGCCTAGGCCTTATTTATACTGTATGCCTGAAATATGTCTGAAGCATAGGCCTAGGTCAAATAGTAGGTCGAACTTACTTATGTTTCAGACTAGAAGTACAATGCTAGACTATTCTGAGTAAGTAGGCTAGAAGTGGTGTAGGGGCCTATCTAGGCCTAGGCCTATGCCTAGAAATCTTGAAATGGACGTGCTGATGGGAAGGGGGTCAAATCAGTTAATAATGGCACTAACTTTACTCACAAAACAAGGTGATTTTTATCTTGCCTTATTATATGTAGACTACTTGACCAGATTTTTTTTTGTTGGGGAGGGGAGAGGGGAGGGCGACTGGGGGAGCGAGTAATTTTTTGGAGGGGAGCGAGGAATTTTTGGAGGGGGAGAAACACGCCTGGGGAGGACCCGGACCTGTCTCTTATACACATCTAGATGTGTATAAGAGACAGCCCCTAGATACACCAGTAGGCTAAGCCACTTTGACTAGCGTAGGTCTAGGCCTAGCCTTAGCTTACCTGCCAACTCTAGCCAGGAATAGGCCTAGTACCCCTAGGCCTACTAGGCTAGGAGGCCTAGGCTAGGCCCTAGGCCTAGCCCTGGTTTTGGGCCTGGGTGGCGCTGGCCCTACTAGGCTAGGCCTACTACTAGTACTACTGATTCACCTACCAAAACAAAATTATGTGACATTCAACGTACCACGGCAAATTCTCTTCAAAACTGTAGTTTAATTAGAAAGTATCCAACAACGTCAACAGCCCTATTTTTAAGTCATTGCTTTCACTGCAGTATAATTAATTCAACGCGTCTTAATAAAATAATAGGCCCTAGCCTAGTAGGGCTAGCCGAAAATCTATTCGTGTAAACATTACCTGAGCCATGCAATGAACCACTTTATTTGGATCAGTTCATTTTCGAAAGAAATGTAAAATATTTATATTTTAAAATTATTATATATGCAATTATTGCTTGTTTTTAACATAGATGCTGTGCTTATATTTTATAAATATATACTGTATCTGATATTTATATGGAAACGAAATACCGTTTTTATCAAATTATTGTATTGCGAAATTGTGTTGTAAACCCACATTAGAATAATAGGCTTTTCTCGTGCATAATGTTACCACGGCAACGTAATATAGCGCCGCCAAGACTATTCCACTGGGTTATGGATAGGCCTCAAAGATTTTATAAGATCTTTGATAGGTTTACGCATGGCCGGCGGAACCGGGGGAGGGGGGAGGCGTGGCCCCCCCACCCCAACTTTTTGGCAAAAAATGTATAATGTCTGGAGATTTTTGTATGATCGGAAACGCAAGAAAAGAAGGAGGGAAGAAGGAGGAGAAGGATGGGAAAGAGAATGTTTATCCAGTACCCGACCGAGTTACATTTTCTCGCAATTCACATTGGCGGATATGGGGAGGGGGTCATGGGTCCTGACCCCTCCTTTGGGCAACACAAAAAAAAGGGGGGGGGGGAAGAAAAAGAATTCTAGACCTTAAGAGAATTAGAATTTTGAACAACATAAAAGTCATTAAAACACACTTCAAATGTCGGGAAAGCTCATTTCCTGCCATCTAGGAATCAAAATTTTCAAGGGGGAGAACCCCTGGACCACCCTTTCTTTTTGGGATTTATCGATTCATGGCAAAAAGAATACGCATGCAACTACTCATTTGTTTATTTATGAATACACACATAAAATAAAAAATGAGAAAAATTTACCTGACTGTTTTCAAGAGGGGAAAACCTTGAATTTTGAAGAACTTAAAATACATTAAAATACATTTCAGAAGTCAGGAAAGCTCATTTCCCGCCATCTAGGAA